GTACTAGCAGATTATATTTGTGTTCTGGAGGTTCTATCAAACAAGTCCCGCGAGAAGCTTATTTGCATCTATTCAACGACTTGACTTGCCACGAAGCCACCCAGAGATCAGCACAAGAACGCTTGGAAGTTATTACTATAGATTGCAGCCAGCATGGGCACTCCACAATCTGCAGAATGGTGAACAGCAGTCGACCAAGTCACATCGACTTTTTTTGCACACAAAGCAGGATTAGACAGGAAGAGATTCTGGCCGCCGGGAAATAAGACTGAAAGAGATTTTGTGAAGCAACGAAGCAACGAAGCAACGAAGCAGCGGAACAACCTTAGTCTTGCAAATTAGCCAGCATACTACGATTCCAGGGGCTTGAACGGGGGTATGGTCTGAGGGGGTTTTTGCATCGCTATGAGGGTATTCTCGCACGTCGGAAAGAAGAACTGCAGTTGCCGTCCGGGACGGAATTTGGAGGCGCCGACTTGCCGAGCGAGCCTCGACAATCTCCTCCAGCATGGGACGCCATTAATAATCCCTGCCAAAAAGGGACCTCCCAACTGTCACCAGATTAATGAAAAATCTGAGTCAACACCTTTGATCACCATTCTTTCGGTGTTTACTGTCGCTGGTGCAGATCTCCTTGTGTCTGGATTGTCTTTGGCCATAACTAAATTGTCCTCATGCCACTACGACACAGTTCAACTGGGTAAATAAGCATCCCACATCTCGACCCGATCCTCCTGCACTAAACGGAAGCCGGGTAGCTAAGAGCCTAAGGCTCGATCCCGCCCGCGTAGCGTTCTCATCACTCGTTTGCCCTTCACTCAACCTCTTTTCTCCTGTATATTTTGCCTGATAGGGCTGGGCTGCTGTTGTTTATCCGTCTCTAATATTTTTTTTTCATTCTTCTTTCGGCTTGTTTCTGCTCGTTGCTATTGGATGAGCGATGCTTACTCCGCTGCTTTATTGCACATGATCACGTTCCGGTTATCGTCAGCCTATAAGGTGATCCACCAGGCCATTTGAGTATGGGCCCGTTTGATCCTATGGTGATAGTAGCCGATTGCTCTGTCTAGACACAAACCATGCAGAGCCTGGATCTGAGTGCTGATCACTCGTCCTCCTGGCGCGTCCAAACTAGTCCTCCCGTTTCAAGAAATACAGGCTCCAACGGCGGGCAGGACCTGGACAGCCGGAGGCGGAATCCACTGGTAAGCATCTCTCCTCTTACTTCCGCACTACAACAGAGCACGTGAGTAAACGTTCAATGCAGGCATGTGAAACATGCTACAAGAGGAAGATCAAATGCGAAGTCGAAGGGTCTAACAATGCTTGCATCCAATGTATGCGTCGCAACATACCATGCAAGTTCACCACAAGAAAAGAAAAAAGAGAGTCGTTGAAAAGGTAAGTCTTCAGGTCACTCCGACTATCTTTGAAGCCGGACTAAGAAATGGCTAGGACACATTATGTGAAAACACTAGAAGAACGAGTCAAGAGGACAGAGTCTCTGCTCCGGGCCGCCGGTTTATTCGCTGAAGAGCTGTCACTTGAGGATGAATATCTCAGCGAAGAGGGAGATGATCATGATCGTGATATGGACTCCGATGACGATTCCATTTCTCCCTACTTTAGTCCTCGTGCTGGCGTCAGTAGACGCAATTCTGGACCGCCCGCTTTAGATGCTTCAAGTGATCTGGCTGATGCACAGCCTCGGTCGTCGAATGACAAGGGAAAGCTACAAGCTGCACCAGAATCTCCCAAGGGTGGAAACCGTGCACTTCCCAAGTCCGGCCAGCCCCATGCCCCTCTTTTCGTCTTGGACAACAGAGAAGAATATAGGTACTATGGTACGAACTGGTCTTCCATTTGCGGCGTTTCTTTCCACAAACCTCGACTGACTTCTCTTCAAGGACGGTCGTCTTCAATGTCTATTCTCTCACGAGAAGGTCTTGAATGGATCAAGAGAAAGACCGGTGAAACAAAGCTTGTGAATGTCATATTTTCTGACTCAACTCGAGATAGTCCTTGGGACTATTGGCGGCCAGACGTCTTTCATGACATCTTCACCTCGGAAGTGTTCAAACCGCTGCCTCCTCGAGCAGAGGTATTTGCCTTGTTGCGCGATTACTTTCGCACTGTAAATCGGTTGTTCCCGCTGTATCATGAAGCGACGTTCATGCGCCTGGTTGAGTGGCAGTACACGCAGCAGACATGTGATGATGCCGCTCGATGGGCTAGTATCAATATCCTGCTGTCTCTGGCCTATGAATATCGGTTCTCCAACTGTCAGAAATCCGAGAAGGACAGGGAAAGAGCTTGGCTCTACTACAAGAACGCCATGTCAGTCTTTGTAGAGCTGTCGTTGAGGAGAACCGACCTCCTTAGCATACAAGCTCTTTTGGGCATGGCTCTTTTTCTCCGAGGAAATTCCGGAACCCAGTCCTCCTTGCCGATTATTACGGCAGCCGTGCAAGCTTGTCACCGCATGGGACTACACCGCAATATTGGGAGGGCACATCTTTCTCCCACTGAGCAGGAGCAAAGACGCAGAGTGTTCTGGGTTGCCTATATACTTGATCAAAGGTGCGTCACCCCCTTATCGTCATTTCACAAAATAGGCTAAGGAATCTTCTGACACGCGCTTTCTTTCTAGCACATGTATACGCGCAGGAAGCAGTCCCATCCAGAATCATGAGGACTTCGACGTGGACTTTCCGGCAGATAACACAGAAGATGCATTCGTGAAGTCGTCACATAATTCTTTCTTCCGCCAGCTTTGTAAGATCACAGTGATAAAAAGTCGCATGTACAGCAAACTCTACTCTACGAAGGCGCTAGAGCACAAGTCTCCTGCAGTCATTTTTCAGGATATCCGAGAACTACACGCGGAACTTGAAGAATGGAAGAACGCTAATCCGTTCGAATGTCGCCTGAAGAAAAGAGGGACAGGCCAGGACTTCTTGCTTGGATTCGCCTCCGCCGGCCTGCAATTTGTTTACTATAATACTATGCTCATGATTCATCGACTCCCGGTCTTACTTCATTTCGGGTCAATGGATCACATTGCACGAGGACATCCTATGGATGACTACGGCTTAATTCTTAGCGAAGCCACTGTCTCTTCAGAGATCTGTGTACAGGCTGCACGGGATACTTTGAAATTAGTCAACAACCTACCATGGGGCGACATTGCATGGATCTGGTAAGGCATGCCCGAGACGAGGTCTTCCATATAAGCTAATGTCCCTTAGGTCTCTTCTGTATTACGTGTTCCTTGCAGTAATGAACATCTTCGTCAATATCCTGAAGAACCCTCAACATCCTAAAGCCAGAGAAGACCTCCAATCTCTCACCATGGCCGCGACCTTCTTCGCGACGCTCATTCCGGGCGATGGACCCGGCCACTATGCTCGATTTATGACTAAAATGAGTGCCAATTTCGAGCGACTCGCACGCAATCTTCTCGAACGAGACGTGAAAGTCTTGAAACCCGGTGACATGAAAAGCAATTCACCCCAGACAAACAAGGATGAGAATCCTGCAGCATCACAAAGCGCCTCAGGTCAGACTGTTCATTCTCGCCATCGACAAACTGGCCTTACTTCTCAATCACGGACCAGTCCCCCCACGTCTACCCCAACCTCTCCTACCTCATCTGCCGCTCATAAACACAACATTCCTCCCAACATTGAAGGTCTACCTCAGATCAATTCATCCGGCTATGTTGTCCCCGACAGTTTCAGTCCCGGCCCCAACCCAGAAACTTACACCACCTCCCCCCCTTCTCTTACCACAACATATTCCCAACGGCCACAAGCACAGTGTCACAGTCAATCTGCCACGCCGGTTCCCCTGCAACCCAGTGACGCGTCCTCCCAGCAACAGCCGCAACCCTTCGATATAAGCAGCTTCGACGCCGGCTTCTTTCCCGTCTCCGTCAACAGTGACAATTTCCACTTTGGCCAGCCAGGTCTGTGGCAAATCCCCCTGACAGCCGACTGGGAGCTGTCGCCCCAGGCTCTGAACGGCATCTTCGGCTTCGACCTGAATTATCCCATTCCGGACGTATCGCAATCGCAACCGATGGTCAATCCCGGCAACAACGTGAACATGGACGCGCCGCCGCCGTCCCAGTTCGGCACTCCGAACCTAGGGGGGCAGCAGCAGGCAATGGGTCCAATGCCCATGGGCTTGGGCCTACTACCGTACGCGCCCAACATGGTGCCACCACCTCCGAGTGGCGGGCCTCAGGGTCAGGACCCCGTGCCTGACGACCCAGCGGCAGCAGCAGCACAAGCCATGCAGGCGAGTGCAATGTGGATGAACGGCCCGTTCTCCGGGCCTTATCCATTTCCGATGTAGATTGAACGCAGACTGGTATGTTGTCACGTGCACATACGCAGCCGGCAGGCCGATCCAGCTCTCTTTTGCCTACCAACATAAGATACCCTGCTGATGCCTCTCACATATTAAACAGGCATGACGACTTCACGAATCTCCAGTACTCTTCTCATCCTATTCTTGTATTCATACTGTCATCATCTAATGCATGGTTACAATGCATGGAAATTGAAAACCTCTGCATAAGTACAGTACACACCATACCCCGGACTGTCGCGTGTACCTGGATAGTGTAGATAAGCAATAACGAATTATTATTGATGGATATGGTATTTACCGCACTGATCCTTTTCAGTGACAAGAGGACTAAAGATATATATCAAACCACACCACTACACCAGACAATTCCTAACAAGCCACAGCGCCCCAATCCAAACACCGATTTGGAACTCCCTCCCCCACGGACCCCTCCGAAGATTATCAACATGAAGGGAAACAGAACTTATCGAAAGTGAAAATTTAGAAGCAACCCCGAGACGTAGAATCAACAACCCCCAGACTCACCGTCGCCTACGACCTTCAATCAAATGAAACACAGCAACACTCCCGATTTCTTCTGACTGAATACCGAATTCAGACCCATTGTACATGATGGTTGAAGTTCAAAACACCGTGCCGGTCAATTTGCGCACCGCCGTCCTCCAGACTCCACGACCGAGCTGCATCTTGCCCTCGGCCGAGGTCCCGGACCCGGATAGACCTTTGTTCAGGATACTGCGCATCTCCGTCTCGGATATGCCCGAGCTCTGAGCAGTGAATCCGTACACCTTGCTGGCGAGGACGTCGGTCTGGAGATCCAGCTGCCCGAGTGCCCCTGCGGCCGCACTGTCCTGTGGAGAAGAGATGATGCGAGTGCGGACGGCGAAGTCGACGTCGATACGGCAGTTTGCCGAAGAGGGGGCTGAAGGGGGCGGTGCGGGACCGAGGAGGGTGCAGCGCGCACGGAGGGAAGGAGTAGAACATTTTTTGGCGCTGGCGGAGTCGTTGCCCTCGAGGAGTTTGAGCTTGGTAACGCCGCAAAATTCGAGGAGGCGGGCTTCTTCTTCGAGCTGGAGGGTCAGGTCCCATGCTTGAGCGATGAAGTGGAGGAGGTGTTTGGGAGCGGTGCGGGATTGCGGGATGGAGTTGAGATGGGTTTGGAGGGATTTCAGGACCAGGAGGGTGATGGCGGATAGGTGTGGAGTGGTGGTAGGGGTGGGTTTCGTCGTGATGGTGGTAGTGGGAGCGTATTTGAGCGTGATAGGTGTGTTGGTGACCTGGTCGTTGGGAGTGGTGGAGGTACTGTTGTTGCTGATGAGGAAGCACGCAGGGTGGAAGGTGAGTTGCAGCTGGTGTCGGTAGGACATGGTCACTGCTGGGCCGGCTGGGGTGGAACCGTCCGATGCGGTGGCAGACACGATGCTCCAACCGCTTTGACGCTCGATGTTGCGGACTGAATCTTTCAGTTCGCTGATCTCTTGCGCGCTCCAGCCGCGACATTGCGCCTTGACTCGTTCGGCTTCCTGGATCTGAGCCATGTACTCGGCCTTGACCTCGGTGCCGGTTTCGACGATATTAGTCTTATCCTCGAGTTCGGCCTGCATCTCCTGTAGGAGCTTCTTTTTCTGCGCGATCTCGTCCTCGACGCCCGCAAGCTTTTCCCGCGTGCTACGCAGCTCATCTTGGTCACAGTTCTCAAGCTCGTCTGCTAGTTGCTGCAGTGTCGTGGCTTCCGCCTCAAGAGAAGAGTGTTTCTCGATGAGAGCGGGTACTGTATCGCTCAGAAGGGTCTCGTGCTTAGCAAGGAGTTCATCGTCTGCTTTCATTTCTTGCACGTGACGGTTGAGGCCATCCCGAAGTCCCTCCAGCAGTTTCATGCGCCACTCATACCATGTAGCCTTACTGAGTAGGCGAGCATGAGTCTTAACATTTCTGAATTGATTGTCCATCAGCAAGCGGATGTCCGCTGGAGCGGTCATATATTCGCGGAACAGTGGCGGATTATCGGCAAGAGTCTCGGTCTCAATAGACCGGATCACCTGTCTGCCTTCATTTATATACGACTTCAACTCTCGACAAGACTGAAAAGAGATCAGTGGTGCACGAATACTAAGCCTGAGAAAAACTTACATGCTGAAACAACTCAAGCATAGGCACGGTGCAGAAGCCAGCAGCCACGCACTCTTCGAAGCTCGCGGGACTTCTAGCCTCGTTCTCGCTAGAAAGTCGAAGATTTCGTTTCCGACCGCTGTCTGGGGCAGTAGTATGCCTTCTTTTCGTGGTTGTGAGTTCCATGAAGTGGATGTTGGTCATGTTGAGGAATTCCTGCAACTGTATAGGCTCGACCTCCGGGCCAGCATCTTCTATAGGCGCATCTTGCACTTCAGTTGATTCTGTATTGGATGCTGTGTCTGAGTTATCTTTGACAGGACTCGTCGTAGCACTGATAGTTTTAGAGGTCTGTGTTGGCGTTGACATAGATTTGAGGGGAGATTGTGCACCGATGGTCTTAAGCGGAGACTGGAATCCACGTCCAAAAGTGTCACTGCTGGTCGAATGAGCTGGGAGCTTGAACTTCTTCACTGGGCTGCTAGTCTCGCGGCCTCGTAGGCGCTTTGGCGTGTGATCAGAATCCGCGTCGTCGTCCAAATCCAACTCGACTGGTCTTTTACCCAGCAGGCCACGGGCGGCCCCGACATGCAAGCTCTTTCTACCACGAAGCTTATTCTTCTTGGGTGTCAAGCTCGAAATCATATCCTTCAAGCTTGCGGTGGGATCCCTGTCGTTCAGTTTTGGAGGCGAGATGAAGCCATCTTCTCTGTTCACCTCCTCTTCGCGTTCACGATCTACCTCCTCCTGAAGCTTCACGGGATCTTCGAAGCGTACACCCTGCTTTGACTGCTCCTGTGGAACAAACTCGGGTGCTTCTTCACCGATAGACCGGCGCTTATCCAGCATAGCAGCGACTCGAGGCGATCCAAGCCCCTCTTTGTCAATACCCAGACCAGAGGACCGCCTCTTCCCATGGGGTTGCAAGACAAAAAGAGGAGCCGGTCTTCCATTGACGCTCTCCCCAAACAGACTCTTGCGCCTGGGGGATGTATTACTTGCGGATTCCTGTACTTCTGGCTGGGACCGCTTCTGTGGTGATGCATTTTCTGTACCTGCATCTCTGGAAGGGGTCGTTGTTTTTGTGTTCGAGGGTGCATTGACTGTTGGCGTGAATGGACTGGGAGGAGAGACCATATCCTCCGGTGGAGATACCTGTGGGGTTTGTGGAGTGGGTGTAGTGGGCGCCGGATGGGTCAAGCTTTGCCTCGTTCGTCGGACCCGTACACTTGCCAAGCTAGGGCTTCCACTTTCTGATGCCACAGCTGCAACATGAAACGAGACGGGTGATTTGGAAGAAGATTCGTCTTGCGACTTGGCTGGCGACTTCGCTGGTGATTTGGCCGGCGACTTGGAAGGCGACTTGGAAGGCGACTTGGAAGGCGACTTAGCGGGTGACTTATTAGGGGACTGCCGTACGGTCTCTTGAAATGGCGAACTACCCAGTTGAGCCGGCTTGGGTTCCGGGGTCACTCGGTCTTCATCCGGTTCCGGGGGTTCTTGTTTCTGTTCTTGTTCTGGCTCTGGTTCTAGAATCTTTCCAACAGCAGCAGTCATATCCATGCCTGCAGTTTGGTCGTCATCTTCGGCTGCAATGCTCTCCTGAGTACCAGGGATAATGCCACCGATAGCTCCAGTAATCTCCATATCCATATCATCATCCATGTCATTCCCATTCTCCCATTCAGACAAGACACGGTCGTTTTCACCTGAAGTGAAGGCTTCTTGTTGATCATCATAGTCGTTCTCATCTGCATTGTTGGCGACGCCAAGACTGTTCAAAAGGCCTCCGACAACGGATGTGAATTCCATAGTCATCTCTTCATCTCCGTTTCTACTTTCCGCCCCTATGGACTTCGCAGGAGAAACAGGCTGTGCAATACCTCCCACGACATTAGTGAATTCCATGGTCTGTTCTTCATAGTTAGTCTCCTCGCTAAGAGACTTGCGGCGCACTTCACTCCTGCGTCGACTCGCTTGATTGGGGAGAATTCGGCCAATTGCATTGGTGACCTCCATACTAAGATCCTCGTCCATAGCATCATCCTTGTCATCTGCAGTCGGAGGAGCATCGAGCATGGGTTCAGAAGGCGGAGCATTCTCTTGATCATACCGGGCGCTGATATCTGCCCAATCGAAACTCTCACGTTGGCCCTTCTTGATCCAAGGCTGGAAAGCACCTGTAATCTCCTGATCTGCGATTTCCATAGACATGTCTCCGTCATCGTCCTCAAAGTCACGAGTTCCAGCTTCTCTAGCCGCTTGCCGCAAAGCTTCGTTCAAGCGAGCACTGCCAGTGGTGGCATCGGAACCATCAGAATGAACTGAGGCTGGAGACTGAGCTGACATGTCATCCAAGCACATTGCGGTGCTTTCTCCGTCGAATCCAGAAGTCGATGAATTGTCGTCATCGTCGTCGTCCTCTCTCTGTAGTCCAAGATCTTCAGTCCCGTCGGCTGAACTTCCGCTGAAGGGGCTTGAGAACATCTCCTGCGAGGACCCCATTTCATCGTAGCTTCCGTTAGTTGACTGGCTTTGGAGTTGCTGCAGATCTGGATACTGCACGGGCGAGAAGCCGGCATCTGACTCTGCGTATGGGTCGGGAGAGGATCGCGGTTCGGCTTGTTCGGCTTGTTCGGCTTGGGGAGCAGGGGTCTGGTTTTCAGCTCCGGCTATTGATGAAGCGCGCCGTGTCGAGTTCGCAGCAGATGATGAAGTCGAGTCGTCGGGTATTTCTACCACGTTCCAAGTGTGCAATGTGGCTTCGGGGGCGAATGAGACCCGGCGATTTGCTGTGATGTTGGGTAAGCGACATATAGATTGCGCAGAAATCAAGGTGACAAACCCATTGACTTCCGACGTGCCTCCCTCTTCTCAAGGATCATCTTCCGCTCCCGCTCCCGCTGCTCCTTTTCTTCCTTTTCCCTTGCGGCGGCCATCTCATCCCGAATCGATGTAGCGTTGAAGCTGTCGAAAGGATTGGATCGGTCTTCGGAAATATTCGAAGCGGGCGCGGGAGTATCAAGGTCGATTAGGAGGCCTTCATTGCTCTGGGTATTGGTTTCATTGCTGACACTCGGCTGCGATTCACGGGCCGGCGTCCGTTTGCGAGTTTCTTCAAATGTAGGAATAGTGCGCACGGGCGAGACGGGAACTGTTGGTTTGAGAATGGACTTCAAGGGAAAGGCTGCTGTGGACTACGCGACAACAAGTTACTCTGTAAGCAAGATACACGTGGTGAATGAGGGACAAGGGGACACCAAGTACCTTGCGGCGATTGCCGTTGGAGTCCTGAAGCGCATCTAGACCACCAGGGCCTAAGCTTTTGCTACGAGACTTTTTGTCTCTAGCCATGGGTTTGGGGCGTCCATCAAGCGGTTGAGAGGAGCTGATATCCGTCGTCGCATTTTCTTGGTCGAGGGTGGAGGTCAATCTCGACCGCGGGATATGAGCAAGAGAGCGACGGGCTCGCGGGCGGAGAGACCCCGCGGAGTCACTTCTGGACGCCATGGGTTCACGCTGGAGCGGACATAGACTTAAGGGAGATGTAAGTTCAGGTACTTGTCGTATGCAGATCCTGTTGATATCAGGAAGACAAGATCATATTTTGTTGAATGGCGCAAGCAATAACGATCGATGGTTGTCGCTGGTTAAGTTAGTAAGTTATCGTCCGGTGTTGCGGCGGGCAAGGCAACTAACTGAAAGCAACAAACAACAAACCAAGTCTACCGCTTTCCTCTTGATGGTCCTCCGGCGGGCGCGTCTCCCGGCCAGGCCGCTCATGTGATCGAGCGGATGTAAACAAACCAAAAACGGAAAGCCCTAGCCGAGTCCCAAAGAGTACTAGCGCCCCCATCGCACACTCACACGGCGAATATCCGCCATCTTGAATAAATCTTCTCCATCATCGACGTCGACCACCGCACGCCCCGACACCCCCCCCTTCGCGACAACCCAGCTCGACTTCGCTTCCTCGTCGGACTGAACATATCGCAAAAATGGCCACCGAGTTGACCGTCCAGTCGGAACGTGCGTTCCAGAAGCAGCCTCACATCTTCGTCAACCCCAAGACCATTGCGAAGAGCAAGAAGGTTGCCTCCGGCCGCAGATGGTACAAGGATGTCGGTCTGGGTTTCCGTACCCCCAAGACCGCCATTGAGGGCACCTACATCGGTATGCACGACCTACACCAAATCTCTGCGGAGTGATCAGATTTCGATTTTTTGCGGCAAAGCACGGGGAAATTTTCAGGGTCCTTGAAGATGAGACTTGTCACCAGGGATTTGACAATTGGAAGCGCAATACATACGACTTTGGTCACGACACGATGGCTAGGCGCAAGAGAAGGGATTTTGATTTGCAAATTGCGGAAGGATTCAATATCGTGGACCATCGGCAACGGAGCGCTTGACGAAATTTCTAAAGATCTGGACATTCTCATCTTCAAGGGCTCGGGGAAACATCTCCAGACACTGCAGGAAAGGAGGGAGAGAGCAACAGTCGCTAACATCAAGAACAGACAAGAAGTGCCCCTTCACCGGTCTGGTCTCCATCCGTGGTCGTATCCTGACCGGCCGTGTCGTCTCCACCAAGATGCACCGCACTATTGTCATCCGCCGTGAATACCTCCACTACGTCCCCAAGTACAACCGTTACGAGAAGCGCCACAAGAACCTTGCTGCCCACGTTTCTCCCGCTTTCCGTGTTGAGGAGGGTGACTGGGTTACCGTCGGCCAGTGCCGTCCCCTTTCCAAGACTGTACGTTGCCTCGATTCCGCCAATATCTTTCCTGGGATCTGTCAGGGGTAGTATGGCTTTGTCCTTGATCAACCGATGAGATGCGACAAAGCCACTACCATGCTCTTGAGAAGACCCGGGCCCAACCCCTTCCGCGCACCATCTAACATATTGACCTACAGGTCCGCTTCAACGTCCTCCGTGTCCTTCCCCGCACCGGTAAGGCCGTCAAGGCTTTCAGCAAGTTCTAAGCGTGTCGAAGAGGAAGTGTTTTCGAGAGGAAAAGAACCTAGGGCTGCGGCGTGACTGGATATACAATGGATTAGTTAAACGGGTTGGGATTGTTTCACGATTTCATGTCCCAGGTACCCTTGAGAAAGAATATCCAATGAAAAAATTCTTTTGATTCTCCTTAATGGCAGTCCACCGTGCAACACGCTTGGGCATGGCTCGGGCCTGTTCCTAGGTTCCACTTTGAATACTACACGGATTGAGCATTGAATTGTGAGGCGCATTCTTCGAATTCTACCTACAAAATTTTCTGGGCGAGAAACGGAGTTAGGGTGGATTGTCTACGATCAACGGTCATCTCAAAAGTGTGCTTTAGCATAAGTACAGCCAAACAACAGCTTCTTGTGTTACATTCGTTCAAATTCTCGTCCACCACCTTAACATTGAGGCAAAGAGTTCTCAAATAGGCACTCCCCACTCATACCTAGTACTCCGAGCACATGCACATCATCCGCCACCAATTGCAAACATTTTGTAGACGAATCAATGTTTCTTCCCAATCATCTTCCCCTACATTCCATTGCCAGGAGATATGTCGAAGTCTACACAAGCATAACGAGAATACACGGAGATAGGCCATCAAGTAGCATCAACCCAGGATCATCCTCTGGCGTGCTCTGTCCAGAGCAAACTGGTATTGCCAGTCAATGTTTTCTGTACCTCTGTTTCTTACCACGCTTGGTTCTGTGTCTTCCTCCATGCTGTCGCACATGGCCGCGATAACGGAATCTGTAGCAACCAGATCCGACTCCACAGACACAAGCGCGACGCAACTTCCCGCATCGGAACTTTCAAACATTCTCCGCGCACCAGACACATCTCTTGGTGGGAGCCCTTTCCCCTGACGAGAGAGTTCATCCTGCTGGGCGATCCACCGACCGGTATATGCGTCCCAGGTCTCGATGGCTGGGTACGAGCGGCGGTTTCGTCTTGGCCATTTGACAGTTGCTTCATCGTCGTCATCTTCTTCTTCGGTCTCTTCCTCCTCGTCGATGCGAGGTGTATTCGATCGGAGGATGCCGGAATTGCACAGCACGTAAGATTCATCGTCAGCAGCACTGTGTCGGTCGTCTTGATCGAATGAGCCATGAAAAGGACGAGTCTCATTCTGGTCCCCATAGCAAGCTGGAGAAGAAGGGTAGCTACTACACTGGGTTTCAATGTGCATCATTTCGCCATTGGCCTCGGTCTGTTCATGACTGTGAGACCCGTGGGAGCCACGCCGAACGACGACATAACTGAAATCGTCGATAGAAGCCAGGCTTCGCTCATTTTCTTCGTCCTCACTGAGTCCGGCCTCGGTGACTGATTCGTCGTCGTCGTCATCTTCATCGTCTGAGATAACATAGACCTCCCGATGCTGGTGTTCAACTGCAGTCATTGGGGTCTCAGGCGAATGACCATATCCTGTACGTATACCCTCGTAAAATGCTTCACCGGGATTGTCGGGTTTCCGAAGACGCCAGGAATAGAACATGCCTCGTCCGATTTCATCACTATACTCAAATCGAACTTGAAGTAGAGAAAGGAGCTTTCCAATGATGTTGCCAGATGTGCGATCGGAATAATGCCCTCGCTGTGAAAGGGCAGCTTTCAGCGCATTTCGATTACACTTATACAACGCAATGGTGTCGAGCTGAAGGATCTCAGCAATATCGTTGTGCTCGTCTGCAATTTGTTCCAATGTGCTGACTTTGAAGGAACAGATTATGTTGGAGGAGGGGACTTTCCCCCAAATCAAAAACTCCCCAGCGCCGTTGTAATAGCTGTTTCCTACCCGGACTTTGTGTGTCCTGAACAAATTCCTGGCTGAGTACACAAAGTCAAGCCCCTTGGTATCAATCACGGAAATGAGAGCACCTTCTTTGTTCCGTATGGCACGGTGCACGGGTGAGAGCATTGACTTGAACGTCGAGATGAATGGGGATGGAACCTCCTCTATATGAACATGTTTCCGGAAATACTCCACGAATTTCTCTGGTCGTATTGTGTTCGGTGAGAAGTACCTGTCCCAATCATCGAAGAGACCCGCAACCAAGAGATTCTTCGTGTTGATGCCCTGCGAGTCGACATTCGACCACCGATACAGTACTGGCGGTATGCCGTCTCTGAGTCTTGGATTTCCTCGTCTATTTGTGATCTAAACGCCTCTTCGTTAGACTTCTCCTGAATCATGTGTCTTGCAAATCAGAGTTACCTCCATGTTGCGCTCCTGTACACACCAGAAACACTCTTTGTCCCCGTATTTGCAAAGGGTCCTGTCCTCATGCACAAGGACATCGGCCGGTTCCTCCTCGATCTCGTGGGTGATATACTCGCCAACGACTTCATCCACTCCCTCAGTGTCTACCGCCATGTCTGTGTCGTCCTGTGCTTGGGTCTGACTCTAGAATCACATATCAGTGCCAATTGCATGCATGTAAAGAGGCTTAGACTCACCGACGTCCTCCGGCTGAGTGTGCGCATTGCACGTTCGTAAGTAGCAGCATCGATGGGATCCACCGTATTCTCCCTGGGTCGTATTTCTAAGGATCTCAAAGTCCTGCGGATGGTCGCAATGAAAGGCGCCCACCGTCCATCTTTATCGAAGGGAGACAGATGGACGTCAACCCAGTCCGGGAGTACTCTTGACTTCAAGTGATGCCATTGGCCGCGAAGTCTTTCTTTGGGAGCACCATCTCTAAAGCCTGCGTTTCTCAAATCGTCTCGATAGACGGCGTCGAATACTGCCTTGTAAGCGTTGATATCCCGATCCCAGAATCGATACAAACAACAAAGAAATTTTCTTTTCTCCGAATCCCAGCTAATCAGAGGCTCCATTGCTGTAAAGTTCAGTCCTCTTGATAAGGGCATCTGAGCCAATAGAGGTCAGGGATAGTGCAATGTGAGCAATGAGTGGGTAAGGTTGGGGACTGGGGGGCAGGGAGTATGAGACGAAAGGGGATAGAAGCAACACCTTCAAATGAGAGGTCAGACTCACTGCAAAGTCCTCGACAGATAGAGCAATCTAGATTGGTGGAGTAGACTGAGTAAATGTCACCTGAGGAATACCTTTGGCCTCCCTAGGCGATTGCTGAGTGTGACCATGTTTTACTCAAAGCTCACTTTGTGTTACTAGCCCTTAGAGCAGGGCATGGAACACCGAAAAAGAAAAGAGAAGGCTACTTGATCTACGAAAGAAGAAGGATTTCAGTGTAGGTAGGCTTTCATTTGCTGCATCTTGCCCTTCATTATAGAACGGACAATGAACTATATAAATGTCGCGGTACCCGAGCACAGTAATGACCTATCACTTTTGACCAATTCAGCGGGCTGAGGCTGAAAGCCGCTCTGAGAATACAAGAAGTATATTCTGGGTAAGAATCTAGTACTTGATGTTTTTAAGTTCATATAAGGAAGCTGTCAAACCTTCTCGAAGGGCTGCAGCAGCTGTGACGTGCAGTAGTTAAGCATAGTTGACTTACTTAAGGCTTTGTCAAGTT